TAGGATAGACAATCATGTTGTGGTACAAATAGAACACTACCAGTCCCAACTTTTGTTGACGAAAGCTTTTTGGGCTTTTAAAAAGGGTAAACAAAACAAACGTTCTGTGTGTTTCAGCACCCTCCATTTCGATTAGAGAAAACAAATGCGAGATTTTCATATCCTTTTCTCAATATAAACCATGTTTCACAGTGCTTAGAAGGCCAATTTGGTAAAATAATTCAAAAGTGAGTGGGCGATATACAGACTAATCGAGGTTAAGCCAGAAATAAGCATGGAGAAAGGAGGCTTTTTTTTACTAAATCTCACTTAAAAATGTAACTGCTCTGCAAACTCATGAAATTGGAAGTAAACCATCCAGATCCAGCCAAGGGATGCAATTATCTAAAATCCCATGTTTTGTTTTCATTTTTACATGACAATTGCAGTAATACAAGATGTCACAACTAGGTACATTTATGGGGCTTTGATTATTTCACTTTTCACTAATGGTTGCCAATTATTCAAGCTTCTTAACAGCCGATGGCATGGGAATATTACTAAGGCTTCAAGGTGAACTGAAGGTCATAAATTTATAACATATAAAGGGTCAAAATTAAGGCATTTCTGGGTCCCCAATGCAGTTTCGACTAAGTAATTGCAGCATTCCTGAGTGTTATACTGTTACGCGCTGGACAAAGGGTATATGATGTGAATGTGGAAATTTGTGACTACTCCTAACTAGGCCACCACAATCCCGTGTTCTGCAGGCATGCTGTTAACAGCTAAAACAATACTAGCACAGTCGTGAACCACTTTAAAAATAGCAACCACTCTGGTAACTGAATGGACAGCACTGAAGTGATAACGAATGATAAGGAGAAACAGACAAGAAACCTCATTTCCAGGAAAATATACTGAAATCCGTCTCTTATTATTCTCTTCAAAATACAGTGCCCACACATGACAAAATTTCACCTTCACTGAAATTGTAAAGAGGGACCAGCTTTTGAGTTGCAGGCTAATTCGATGACTGGTGCAGTTGGCTCGTGGGTGTTTTCCTGCAGCACAGACTGAAACTTCACATCCACCTCGGAAGGTTGACTACGAAGAACACTTAAGGCCCGGTCATTGTACTTTCGCTAAACGACATGGCCTCCGGGCCGTGTCAATAGTCTCCCAGCTCTGCTGTATATTAACAATACATATTCTGCCGGAGTAATTTGTCTTCTTGGGTCTGCAGAGATGTTGTAAGGTGTCACAGCTGCTCACGTTAATGGTCAATTCAATTAAACATGCATTAAATTTTTTTACACGTTTTTTGACAGTCTTTTCCAGATTTCGATGTACACTTCTATTGCAAAAAATATTTTCTGCCAAAAAAATGATGCTTTAGCAAATGCAAGTTTTTGTCCGCCTTCGAATAATGCATTCTAATTAATGCCTTTTGTTTCCCTTCACAGAACCTCATAACTTAGCAACCCTAATCATCAAAACAAAAACAAGGGGAGTAGTGACCATTATACCTTAAAACTAGATGCTAAGACAAGTTAGCAGTAATAGACAATCAAATATTCAATTACACTCGTATTTATGCATAAATGAAACAAGTTTTACTAGGCATCATTGGTGGAGCTTTTGACTTGCCCGTTACTAAAATTGTCATTCCAATTGTTGAAGTTACTGCTGGTTACAAATTGGAAAAGTAAGTATAAAAGTTCAAGAATTATTGAATAGCTAAATCACATTTTCTGGTGTGTCAGATGTGCCGCATGTGGGAAGTGGTTAGGTGGAGAATAAAACTGCCGTTCAGCGACGTCTTGAAAGCATACCATTGCAATTGTGATGCTTCCACTTTGCTTCTAGCACGTCGCCGTTGCCATACGCGGTCTCCCAGTTCCTCCTTATTAATTCACTTTTCCATGCCTAATATCGTTGCTTGAAGGCAACCAAGGCAACATTCGAACTCGCCCATACGATGGGAATGGGCCAATGCAATAATGGCTAGTGGGATGATATTTTGTTTTTTTTGACCCTACCATTTTACCACAGACAAAAAACGACAAACAAACCGAATTACACCATGATCAGGTGGAAAATTATTTACCAGTTACCTATTTTTGGCACTGATCAGATATGAATGTCGGTTGGTGGCTTGCAGGAAGACTGTAAAACCCCACAAAATCCCACCAACGATCTGTGCAGAATGGCTGTCGCCATTTGCTAAGAGGATAACTCCCGCTTCGAGTGGGTTTCGTTTGCCTTTTCCGAGGGTTGCTTTCTTCCCTTGCTTACATCGTTGCCATCTCCATCGCTAACAGTCCACAACATCGGCTCTACTGCCTCCAGTCTGATTGACTGGACGGCACTCGCATCGCGCCTCCCACAGCCCCACGTGACTGACTTCCTTGTGTTATAAATAAAACCACGCAAAAAAAGGGAAAAGGGATTACCTTCTTGGATTGTTTTGATAACCAACTCCGTGTTCTGCTTCTGTCGTTCTTTGAAGCATATGGGGCTGTGTTCTTGCCCTGAACCCGTGTAATCCTACGTAACGAATGCTTCTTGATGCATCAGCTATCATATCAAAACGCATTGTGAGGAAACTGCTTAGTAATGCTAGGGTTACATTTTCATTTATACAAAAAGTCATACTAGTTTAATGGCAATGCAACCCCCTTGTAGGCTACGACATTGTCTACTAGAACAGCCTACATATAGGCTCACGCTAAATGAAGTAACAGTTGTGTGTATGCGAGACTTGCAGATGGCGGTCTTTATTGCCGAGACGTCCGATTTAGCCAGGAAGTAGAGCATGTGCTTACGCATCTGGCTAATGGAAAGCCGGATCCAAGATATCTCCTAATCTCGCCTATTTATTGTACAGCAGCTGACCTTAGTTTCATTTTTTGTCTACCTGTGCGTGATATCGGCCGGTCAGGTTAACTGTAATAAATTTATAGCATTGAAACCTAGAATAGCAGGAATATTTCTTCGGACTATGCACATCCTGAGCTGAAATGCTTGTCTTTAAACAGCATTGATTTGGGTGGTGTAATATATCCTAAGTCGGATATTTTGAGGTAATCAGGAAGTCCTGGCTGCTAGAAAGGCATAAATTGTAAAGCCCTAGGTGCTGCTTTTGGCAGGAAGGAACTATTAGGAGAAATTTCATACAATTTAGAGATTATACATTCATCATTTATTATTCTTAAATTTATTGTTTTATTTAATACTTAAAAATACCATGACTTGTAAATCCACATTCTCATTTGCCTTCTAATCAGTTACGAGAGGGGGTTGTGTTTTGCATGCAAAGCTTCCATAAAAAATAACTGCCATCGAATTGGTAGCCATGGCTAGTATGATGTATTTCTAAACCAGTAATTACTTATGCAGTCCATTCGGTTTGGGAAAAGATCGCACTTCTGACAGGTCTGGATCACCGGGACAGTGGAGTGCTTATGCCGTCAAATTCTGCTTAACTCAAAGTAGAGCAGCTTTGCCCAGCGCAAATTACTTCCACCCAAAATCACTTAACCATAAGCAAAACAAAATCCGTTGTTGCATAAAGATAAAAAGAAAGATATTTAATCAATTATAGCATTAATTCTTATGTTTTTTGGGCTCCTTGAAAGGGACTAATCTGACTGTTAAAACAACCTATTTAGGGGCCTAGTCGAAGCCTAGTCTGTGTGAATGCTATAAAGAGAGATTATTTTCGTGCAGTTAATCCTTACGACAGGAGAAGGTGTGGAATTTTAGTATCAATAAGCTTTTGCATCAAAGGTCGTAGTAAACAATTCAGGAAGGCATAAGGTGACAATTTAGTATTTTAACTGGATGATCTCTAGGGCATAGACCTTTGCTATACTTAAAACATTGGACCTATAACTAAGAATTGGGATGGGTCTTCTAAAAATCACATTTGGTGTTTGATTTTTTTCCTATGACTAGAGGGATTTAATTAAATTAACTCTTCACACTCTGTTTCTGCCTGTGATGCGAGTATCTTGTGTGAGTCTACGCTATTAACCTACCTCAACTGCCTAATCTTCGGAGAGATTTTGTAACATTTTCCTATTTTTTTGCCAAGACCGCATTTCAAACCACCAAACAGGCATCAACGGTGGCGCTAAAAAAGCTGATGATGCATTGACAACTTGATAGCCATCATGTTAGGTACTTTAATCCATCCGTAGCAACATAGGGCATTGACAAGTTTGGTTCACATTCCTGCGGAGTAACCTAAAATTAACCAGAAATCCATGAAAGTTACAATCTATTCATTCTCATGTTAAAGTACTAAGTCCCTGTTTGCGCGTTTTTGCACGAAATAAAAAAGGTTTGAATTGTTTACACCAACGCACCAGTCAGCGTTTCGCAACAATTCATTTGCATGTCTAAGTGTGCTGGCCAAAATAAACGCAACCGCTTTTAAGCCAAACGCAGACTGGTCTTTCCGCCATCAAAGAAGTGCACACGCATATTTTCCTGTACTTTAACTTAGGCGAATTGTAAAATTTGTGCAAAACAAAGTTCATGTTCCTTTAAAAAACTACAATTTTATCCTTCATTCGTTGAGTTAAATGGAGCTGGCGGTTGGCTTTGATGTGACCAACTCAATTTCTTGTAGTACCAGGCGAAAAGTATTCTTTTTGAGATCTCAAAGAGAGGGAAGATGCCTCAACTAAAATTACTAAGTAATAATAGAAATCAAAGCTATTTTTTAACCTTTGTGTTACCACCGCTTTCCATGCGTAATGAATAGAGCAGTGGATGTGGAATGCTGCATCCTGATTGGTTCGGGAAAAGTCTTACAACCAATCAGGTTGCAGCATTTAGTCCAATGGGGAATTGATAGGGCCAGAGAATGTGATTTTTTGTCTAACCGGTCTTTCGCAAGACAACGTGACCCTATATCAGCAACATTACCAAGCCCTCAGATGAACAACTCTACGGTTGCAACTGAGCCAGCAAGTCCTACTTGGGAATTCGCACACTCCTATCCCATTGTCACTCTCCTAAGTGTCTCCTATGCGACTATTTTCATCGCAGGACTGCTCGGCAATTTCGCAGTCATAACTATCGTTCTACGCAACCATCACATGCGGTCGGTGACTAACATCTTCATTTGCAATTTATCAGTAGCGGATCTGCTTGTCACTGTCTTTGTGGAACCGTTAACTCTCCTCCAGAATATTGTCGTGGGTGCGTCGATTAACTTGCTTTATCTGTATGCGGTAAAGGCAGGGGGTGTTAAGACCCATCCACCAGATCAGGCGTCACCTAATTCTGTTGATTTTATAATGAACCACAAACTGCGCGTTTGGCTGTAGCAAAAAAGGCTTTTTACTTTAATTGGAATTATCTAAGGAAACCCAATCTTCACGTACGGCAGTAAACGTGGTAACGTTTCTATTTGCCTATAAATAAAACTTATCCAATGGGGCAGGAGCCGGTAAAGTTGATAAGCTTACACAAATTATTTGCTACTCTGTGGGAATTACTGAAATCATTGTAGGAAATATTTATTCAATATAATAGGCACCTCGAATTTTCATCCTTCAGGCGAGCATCCTAAACGTGTTCGGCAAACAACTCTGCAATGAATGCTTCACTGTGAAAAATATTTTATCCATTTTAATAAATTAAGTTCTCAAACGCTGATATTGATCTTAAGTGTATTTTGTTATTTAATAGGGAATAATTTAGCTTTCAAGATGGAATTATTCAAATTGAGCAGCTAGGAAGGCATTATTTCCTCCCTACTTTTTCCTGAGGTTAAATTTAAGGTGAAATGACATTAATTTTGGTAAAAGCTTTCCATGTATATTCTACCTAATTGACACAGCGAGTCTGCGTCCCGTTGTTAATTCCCATCTGGGAGTGTCACATCCAGTCTTAGTACTTTATTGCGTTCCCCCTTTTAATTGGTTGTATAAAAAAAAATTGTTGGTCAGACTAACTTATAAAATCCAGCTTCTACAATAGTTTTACTAACTCATAACAATTGCCTTTGTGAATTACGAGTTAATGCATATATATCCTCTCATCCCGCTTCCATTAAGGTTGGCATTGGGGTGCGACCACTTGTTGGTGTGTGCCCTACCTCCAGGGCATTAGCGTCTGCGCGTCATCCCTATCTCTCCTAGTGATCGCTCTTGACCGGTGAGCAGTCCATCCGTCTGTCATGTCGCCTTTTTTGCGTATCTACGTTTAAGCAATGTTTTGTATGCATTTGTACGGTTATTCTGCAAAGGTGTCCTAAATTTAATCATCGGCCAGCAGCTGACGAAAGCTAAACGCATTATTTTTCCGAGATATGCTAAAAAGGATTGAATTTATTGAAGCGTAGTAATGTTACTTAAAAACCATAAAATCAACATATTGCCCCACTTGTAGCCTGCTTGATAGATGTTAATGCATTCAGTGCTAAAAGGTCGTTTCTACCACCTTGCGTGTCTGTGGGTAGCGTGCTGTCATACTCGAATATCAAGTTTGCCAGGCATCGTGTCTTTCACATTTATTTAAAGAATTTTCCGAGGTGCGAGCACAGCCGCTTCGCCGTATTTACAAAATCCAAAAAATGAACTTTTATTTGCTCCTTTAAAAATCACAGCAGATACTTTGGTGAATGCATGGTGTGCTTGTTTGTTCACTGATGCATACAAATGTCGTTGGTTAAAATCCACAAACTCTTGCGTCAGTTGATGGAAAAGTTGAAGTGCTATTATTTGGGGTGATAAGGTGCGGTCTGAAGTCTACTACCTATTGTCATTAATTTACAGCGCTCTATGGTTAGCTGGATTAACTACTAAAACGCGTTTGTTCTTTAGGCGAAAAGGACACTTTTTTGTTGTAAGCCAAAATAGTTCTTTGCCAAAATATAGTCGTTTTAGTTTGTTTCAATTAAAAAACACTAGTAGCTGAAATCTAGTGCGTAAGAACACAATGGTTAACTGTGTTGGTTCAAACTCCCAGGAAGACTTTACCTAACAGATTTGTAGCTAGGATATGGTTGAAGTGATTGGTAACTACCATACAACAATCCACTTAGAATTATTTTCGCGAACTAGTTTTTGTATCGGGAACCACTTTTCTCTTTCCCAGGCAAATGGCCTTCACTTGTTATTTGAATTTTCTGCGCTTTGTTTACCTCATCTTAAAACCCATTACTTTGAACAGTTAATTTAAACATACTAAAAGCCACTCCTATGTAATTTTTCAGATCATGGAACTTTGTAGACATTCCCAACTCCTTGTAATTGATCAATAAAATATGCGCACAATCTGAAAGATAACATGCATTCATTGGACAACGCAATATAAATTAAATTGCTGTAATATATTCTTTTTCCAGGCAAATTAAAAGACGCTCTGCCATTCAACACAATCATTTTCTTATGTCCTTCCCTAACAACAGCAGAATTTGCACCACACGGCAGAGGCCTTGTGAGGATGTTTCTCGTGAATGATGTCTTTTCCTCAAAATAGCTTCCACAGCAGAAGCACACTTGCTGCTAAATTTGCATTAAACATGTCTTTGAAAGAATATCTCAGGAAGAAAGAAGCTAGTAAAAGAGGTGTGGCGCAGCTATACAATAAGCTTCTAAAATGATTGGAGCGTACACTAACAAATGTGCACCTATATCAGTTTTGGTGGCAATTTGTTTTATTTATTTCGACCTAATCCCCTTATAACTCGAGCTTCCCTAATCCTCTCTGAAGTCATTAGAAGACACAGAAGTAGGGTGAAAAACGACTCCACTGACGTAACAGAAGGGCTGTAGGCACGGTCGGAAGCTTTCAAACAAGTCTATTAAAACCTGATAAATGATAAAATTTCGTCTTTTTATGTGACAACCAAGAAATGTGTGGGCTTCTGAAGATTTCGGCAAACCTCTTTTCCCTTTATGCATGAGTAATCAGGAAGTTACAGTTATGAAACTCAAATGTGTGTTTAGAAGTTCAAACGTCTTAATGGGTAATGCGTTCATAAAATGGTAAGAAATTTTTTGCCTTTATATAACGATCCAGAACCCATATTCTTTTTATTTAACCAAAAAGGGAGACAAATTTTTATTAATCCATTAATTTTATCCACAGGCTTTCGTGCATTTTCAAGATCTCCCAGATAATATTATATGGTGTTTCTAATGACTGAAAGATGCCCTTGCCAATCGCACTATGGTAACACCGCCCCATAATTCAATTTGAATAAAGGAAATCTTTGTAAACTGCCGACAAAGTTAGACTGCCCTACGTGCCTCTTAACCAACTGTAAAAGTGCACAGATGTAATAAACAGGTTTTTCCATCGGAAAATAATTATTGTTTTATTTCTTTTAAAATAATGGTTTAGTCTTTTAGTAAGAAGGAGACTACATTGACCATGACAGTTATTTGTTTGTATGCATGGACTAATGGAGTGGTTTGAATTTGCAGAACACAAAGAATAAGAATCCTTTAAGGTTACTAAGTAACTTTATAGGATTTGCTAGAGTAAAAAGATAGGTGTCGTCAAATAATTGCGCTCCCAAAATCTCTCATTTAGTCGGGAGAAATAAATCAGTTTGAAGGAGCAGTTAGCTGATCAAATTATTAAAGAGGAAGTGAATCCAAAAGTAGTATAAAAGATCTACTAATGAACGAATTGGGTGAGTGAATGAATGAATGAGTGATTGGTTGATTGAAAGAATCGGGTGAATGAATGAAGGAGTGCAAAACTCATAGACGCCAAACATTCCTAAAATGTGTAAATGCTTCCTTGTTAGTTCAATTGGCAGAGGAGAATCCCAAACACGCGCTCTTCACAATACAACGAGTTAGATTTGATGTTACAAATGAAAGCATTATGGTGTGAACGGGACTAAGGGCGATAAATGAATTCCGTACTGTCCAAACGCAATTGCTGTCACCGATGCAAATGTGCGCTGCTCAATTTCAGACGCATATCATTTTCTTCCATGCATGTAGTTATTTTGAGATTCCTTGGTAAATTAACCTACAGGAGCGGGTAGGCGCAAAATGTAATCGAGCAACTTTCCTGAAAAATTTTAGATATTTCTTTGATTAACAGCCTGGATTGTAATTTAGTAAAGCCTTAAACTATTTTACTGTTATTACAAAGTTTCAGTTTCTCCAAGCAGAATCAATGACTCATCTAAAAATACTCAAATAAACACTAAAGAGAAGCTGTTCCCCGTAATTCGTTATTCAAAAGTAATAAGCACTCAAATCTGCATTCCTGTTCTGATCCGTTTAAATGATGAAATTTGACTTCACTGCGATCATGTAGGGCTGTTTAGTAGTCACTGACCGAATGCCAACTTTTATAAAGAACAAAAGTTTTAAGCTTTGCCATTGTCATGCCATAATATATTTTTCGCATTTTGTGCATAAAAGTCATTCTAGATTGGAAGTCATGGGAGACGTGTCAGCTTAAAAACATTTTGAAGTCAAACCAGTATTAATGAACTTTGACATCAACTTTGGTTTGAAGTGGATGTGAATCAAATTCTTATACTGCTGTAGTAATTATTAACCGTGCAGTCCTAAATGGTACTTTATCCTCTCGAGAACCATTTCAAATAAACCTAGATTCCAAAAATACGTAGCTCCCTGAGTTTTTTATAAAACTCTTCAAAATGTCTTTCTGAAATTAATGCAAGGATCATTTGGATCGGTAATGAATCTTCTAATTTGTAATCCAATATGCCTTTTTTACATTGTTTTAAACCAACAGCTACCTGGCAATATGCTTTCCTATGAAACGCTTCATCCGACGCAGCCTAGCGAAGAAGATAATCGCGGTAATCTGGTTCTTTTCCGCCGCATTGTTTATTCCTTGGGCTTACTATTTTCGGCTCTCACATGCACCAGATGGCCTCATCAACTGTCGCGAGTTCTGGCCCTCTGTCACAGCCGACAGGGCCTTTTTTCTGGGTGTCGTGACTCTACTCGTCTATACCACACCGCTGCTTTTCATGGCTTACTGTTATTGCTCCATCATCCTCCGTGTCTGGATGAGAGTGCGTAAGGATCAGTCCACTACGGGCGCCGCAAAAGCTACCAGTTCAGACGAGTCAAGAAACACGAAGGTCATCCCTGAGAGACTCCATTCTCCCACCAAGGAAGCGCCCTCGGATCAGGAAAGAGGCACAGCCTCGGATGTATCCGGTTACGCTGAAACCCAGCCTTCTGAAACCAGAACGATGAATAGCTTTGCGACGCCAACAAAGTTTACTAAAATGTAGGTCGAGATATTGTGCTAACAAAGAAAGTGCATCTATTTAAATTCGCACGTCTTTGGTTTCACTGTTGGCTGTTTATTTTGAAGGAAAGCAGTTACTGTCTAGAATTTTTTTAGGAAGCGATAGGTTGGTGTTTAATTCTTTCATTTAAAAAATCTTTTTTGGATATTCTGACTTATTTGCAATGTTCAGTACAAGGTTGATTTGTAAAAAGTAGACAGACTAGTATTACTTTTAACCCAAAAATTAGAATAAGATTAACAATTATGAAGATAGGCTAATGGTGTTGATACACCCTGACAAACTAATTTTCAAGTTGCGTTTGTCCTCTGTTTCACTAATCATTTATGCAGAAAACTTTACACAAAATTAAAAGTGACGAAATACTTCACGGAAAATAAAAGGTGGTGTTAATTAAATCTGAGTATTCTTGAGGATGGTTTAATCCACTTAATTTGTTCCAAGCCACATAAAATACTGTAGGTAGGTGTCCAACTAGCCTCGCAACCCTGAAGTGGCTTCTTTTAAAAGAACACTTTTAAGTTCAATGAGATAAAGCAGTTGTTATTACAATGTCTTGAACAGGTTTGCTACTTCAAACGCGATTTATCATGCACGGTTGGGTGTTTTGCCCAACTTGGGGAGAGGCTGTAGTCAGTTGGTGCAGACGGTTTTAGTACGTGGTCAAAAGCCATTTTGGGAAACACAATTGCAATTCGCATTTGTCTTTTATGCTCAACACTCTTAGCAAGCATACGTTTGGCTGAAATGAAGATTCTCGTGATTTAATACACTGACTGAAACCTCGAATTAGAGTCTTGATTTTAAAGCCTTTAAGTTAATTGTAAAGATATGGCTGGTGTTTCTATCTTGTCTTATGAGATTCAAGGTTATCATGGTTTGTGTATAGGACTGCAGTCTAAGACCAGAAGACATAGAGCATGTGGCCGCTTTGTTACCGGATGTATCATCGTCTTATGCCAGCAGGTCATGGAATCTCATCTATAATCAACAGTAGCCAATTGGATGACACTTTAAAATTTGCAGAATTTGTGATTTTATTGCCATTTTTTTGAGCTGAGTTGGGCAATGCAGTGTTTAGTTTGCGTTCCCACGATGCTGCGTCTCTTACATTAAATTACTTCTAAAAACAGGAAATTGTAGGAAATTCTATGAATCCTTCTAAATTGTATATAATCCAAAGTCTTGGAAACGTCAATTATTTAACAAAAATTAAGAACCTGTATTTCTTGATGTCAGTTGGGACTGTCAGTTAAAAGGCACGAGAATGGGAGCTCAGACAGCTGTCTCCAGATTACTGAAAGGAGAATTCAAACAGTTGATAAATGAGGCGTTCATTGTAGATGTTGCAGAGGAACATTTTCGCGCTGTTAAAGATTATCATATTCTAATGCCTTATCTAAAGTGACAGAAAGACAGACAGACGGGATGTGGCAGGCCTGGTGCTGATATTTTTACTTCTCGGCTTTAAGTTAATAGCAAAATTACACGTCGCAGAAGTGAGTATTTTCATTTTTTTTCCCTGTGCACCTCGTCAGCAATAAAAATCTTTCAAAACTTTATTCATGCAGACCAAAAAATGCGTTTTCTAGTTCAATCTACCCTGCATTAGTGTTTTATTTTTTTAGCCTTCAAAATTGGCTCTTTCAAGACGGCCAGCGGTAGCGGAAGTAACCGACGTGTACCTAAAAAATCAGAGAATTGGAACCCTCAAAGGCTTAATTGATGCCGAAAAGTACTTTTAGAAAATTTTCGGAATTATCACATTTTTAGCTTGCAAATTGGTGCTCAGGGCACGGAAAATGGAAATGTTAGAATAAAACATAAGTATGGAATTGGTGGAAAAAAAAACGCCTTTATTGTTGGCAATATATTTTTAAAAAATGCGCCTTTTTGTACGATTCCGTTTTCTAACTATATGGCTAAATAGGTAAGTAAAAAATAATACAAAAAATGACTCTTTGAGAGCATGTGGCACTCCGAGCTTTCCCTAATGACAAAAGAAGGTATGATACTTGGTCAGAATACGCATTCCTGAAGTAAAGTAGGGCTTGGGGGTAAAGACACGGCTTAGAGGCTAGACCGCCTGTTGGAGCCCCTGAGTAATCCGGTATCAAAGCCGCCAGCTAAACGAGCGATTGAGCAAAAACTCACGAACTTTTGGCACATTATAGAGGTTCTGATGGCGTGTGCATTTAACGCGAATTGAATAATATGCTCCAATCCTACTTTAGCAGGCTTGTTTGCAAATAATGCTGTATTGTTACTATTTATTCGCCCATTGGCTTCTCAATATCATCTAAAACAGCCACTAATGCATTAAATAATAGTTCTTACAAATAGTGTCTCAGAAAAGTGTAATTTTTATCTTTTGCATGGTGGTACAAAATTACCATGGTTGGTTGGACTGGAAGAAAGGTGCATGAGTAGGGAAAAATGTTTCTGCTTTTTTTAAAACATCGTCTTTCACATTGTTAATGTTTGTTTTGAAAACCCGAGCGACAACAAGAGATTGTCCTACAGATAAGCGCTTCAACCTGTCTGCATGTCTTATCACAGTTCCACCAAAGGCAAGTTTTTAAATCACTTAAAAAAGTACACCCTACCGACTAATACTAGCCTAAGGTGTTCCCCGTAAATTAGAGTTGATGGCATAGTTTCCCATCCGAGAGCATTCACAGACTACAATTTGGTTGGTTGTAATTTTTTTGCGGTATCTTCATGCACTAGGTATTGTAAGCGGGCGCATCAAGGCACAAAGTCACATCTAAATGTGCGCACCAAATGCAGGCTCAACCCTGAAAGAATTGTAAAGCAGGGTGAAGATTATGCTAGTGATGTGAATACAGAGTACTTAGGGGATGTAGCTGACTACAGACGTAAACAGATCCAAAGACTATCCAATGCATACGAGTGAATAAAATTTTAAAGTATTTTAGAAAAGCCTAGTATACATTTATGTTTTATAGCAGGCACATTTAAGCGGATGCTTTGTGTATGGCAAAGAAATCTCAAAAAAGGAGTGCAGAGGTACGTGCTCACTTCTGACGCGTAGGCCTTTACTGTGAAAAAACCAAAATGTTTCATTTTTCAGTAGAGAGGGTCTGATGAGAAAAAATGAGACAACCAGTTTTGCTTTCGCACCAGGTGGCCAAATCGTCCTATCACGTTTGGAAAACAATTCCACTTAGCTCATTCAAACTAGACAATTGACTAACCGCAGAGTAGAACTAGACAGCCAAAAGTGTTGCAAATTTAGCTAAATTTTGTGCAACAATGCCATATATATTCTGGTTATGTTACTGGAGTTGTTAAATTACTCGTTCTTTTAAAAATTTAATGTTTGATTTATGTAATTTTCCACCTTTCTTATAACACTTCTTGCTGCTGACAATGCAACTTTTTCAGAATTTCTTCTTAGTTAGTTATAAATCTGTCACTATAAGGACAAGTCACCTAAAGTTATAAAACATATTATTGACATTTTTCAGCCATTAACCTTCTAAAACACCCTCACCATTCTTTAATGCAAGGTAGGATACGATTCTAGAAGCAACAAGGAAAGGTCGACAATACACTAGTTAGCGACGGGTTAATTGAACGGTTCTTACTAGCTATCAGATGTTTGTGGATGCTTAAGATACCACAACGGTAATGCTCAAAAAACCAAAATTATCTTTTTTAGAGACGACAATTCACGGCAGGTTCGACTGCATCCCGTGGGTGGATTGAGCCGTGTTAAGACAGTGAAGATCATAAAAATGCTGGCAATTGTGGTAATCAACTTCTGTATCTGCTGGTTACCTCTGTTTACCATTTTCAACATTATTAAATTCTCCCCCACCTACTTGGCATTCGCATTCAATACGTCTACCAAGGCAACCAATGAAGAATCCTCCATGGAAGTGAAATTCAGTGACGACGATCAAATGCGCGTGATATTCCTTCTGGTACCGTTCGCTCAGTTGCTCGGTTCCGCCAACAGCTGCGTAAACCCCTGGATCTACTGCTTCTACTCCAAGCGCTACCGACGCGGCTTCAAAAGAGTGTTCCTCTGCCGATCCATGAAAGCTGTCTCCATAAGACGACCTCCCCGTCTACAACCCTCTACTTCCCACTTCCGTCGTGGCCACAATCTTGCTCTACGTGGTGTTGATCAAACCGCCCTAGCTTAACTTTCGCCAATTCTAAGTACTGTGAGATTTCATTCCGCAATATTTGCAAATATGCAGCTTTGCAGAACTTTGTGTACGCTTGACTAGTTTGAAGAATGGGCATAAATTGACGAAGCGTCTTCAAACGCTATTCCTATTATTATAGGAATGCAAAAAAAGGGAAATTCCAATTGAGTTTGCAGTATAATATCGTAACCAACACGTTCCAGAAGGGCGGCGCATATTTAAAAATAAACACACTTAGGAGTACTGAGTATCTGCCAATCAGAGAATTGCACTTAATTAAATTAAAAGCATTCTACTTAGCTGATGGCGACAAGTTCTTTTTGAATAGTACATAGAAAACTAGAAGTCGTCCCTAAATTCTTCCTAAAAAAGCAGATTTTGATGTCTAGCGATAAGTTGGTTTTTTAATACTACTAGTAAATTACCACTTAGGGCTCCATTAGAGTTTTATAATAAACACTACTTTGATGACCTAAATTTGTTGGTGGAAGCCAAATTGAACATGGCCTTTGCCATTCTGTGTACAAATCGTCGTCCAATTCACAATTAGATAACTTACGGGTGGTAAACTACCGTCAAATCAAGTCGTTAGCTACTCTTTGATTAAAAGTAGCCCAACTGCAAAAACTCCAGCATTACAGTTGGTTTTTAGCAATTACCGTTGTCTACGAGTTGGTTAAGAATGTGGCTTGTAACATAAAGCCAAGGAATACGACGTTGTAGTATCTGCTTATACTATCCTTAGTTGCAAAGTATTCTTATCAGATAATCTCAAGTAGTTTAGTTAACTTGGTCGCGATTAACAAATTTCGGAAGGCCCTCAAAGTTTAATTTATTAATATTATTATTTTTGCAAAGATTCAAATCGAAAACTAGAAATGCATTTGCGAACGCGTAAGAGAATATGAAACACTTATAAGAGTGGCTGTAAATATGAGAAGATGTCAGGATTTCACTAAGGTCAGATTTGTCCCTCCTCGGGAAAAATAACAACAAAAGTGTATATTCGGTATTTTCCCGGGAACGGTCGTCAGTGCATGAATTCTTTTCCTTCAACTTACAGTGCCATATTACTGTTTTTACTCCCTGACAAAAGTTAGCTTTTTTGTTGTTTAGATGTTTTAATTATAGGCGCATTTTTGTGCGTTACTTGTTTTTTTGACAGAGGTGTATGCTAATTTGATTGGCTAAACGCTAGTTTTATTTGCTATTGGAAGCTGAACCGCGGTTACCTTAATTTGTTTACTAAAATGACTTGATAAATCCACTAAACTTTTTCGCCAGTTCAGTATTCAACTTTAAGTTGCAGCTCCCGCTGACCATTTCAAGTTACTGAAACTATGAGTATAATCCCAACTTCTGTTGAAGCAAAAACTAATTTGCGTCAGCACCTGGGCGAGGTAAAGCTATGGCTTGGGGTCCACAGTCCTGTCCATGTCTCTGTGCTCAAAGGGCTTTGAAGGATAGATGGATGTTCCTTAGTATATGGTTCGCTTTGCGCTGCAACTAGTGCAAGGCCCCGAGACTTCCCTGAGGAGGAAAGAAGGCATAATTGTTGACCTACAGAAGCGCTTGGAGACTGCTGTTGTAGCATGGAATCCAGGCTGCCTGGCGATGTACAATGGCGGAGTCCCTAACCGGCCCGTTACTAGAACTGAAAGCTAAAGACAAGTAACGCACTAACCAATTTTGTCTGTCTAAAGGAAAGCATTGTAGGCAGAAGGCTTAAATGGAGATTCCGGTCTAGTTGGTCCCCTTGGTAGGAATGAGGGAAGCAATAGCTGCAAGTTTGATCAGTTTATTTAAGAATTGTTTCGCCGTCCGTCAGCGGCTTCCTACTTTTCCCTTCTTCCAAATCATGGCAAGCCTACCTGCAGCTGCTGGGTTCTTGCATGATTGTATTTGCTCCTTCCCCTAATACCAGGCCTTCTAACCGCTTGTGTGGTGATTTAGTGTCCCCTAACATTTGCACAACGAATCCATTTGTAAGGTTACGTGCCCTGACGCATCCCTAAGGGGATGTCCATCTCCACCGGGATGCCGTAGGGCTCCAGAGCCTGCAAATATTTCCACATTTTTCTTTGAGCACAAAAGGATATTAGGAAATTGAATGCTAGACTAAGCTACACATAATTTTGTAATTAAACTTATTTAAAAGTAATACCGACATTTGACGCCTCAATTTGCAATGAATACCGCACCGACTTCCGGAGCCATTGCAATAGTTTTGCTTGAGACCCTTACAATATTTTTATTTCAAAGTATTCAAATACTTTATTTATTTAAAAATTTAGAATCGAATCCACTAGAATTACGCCTCCTTCTAGGAGCAATGCTTTTATCATTATGGTCGTTTTACCTGGTGTACTTTGGAGGATAACAGACGACTCTGGAGGCCACAAATAGGTGGAGCAAAGCTGTAAAGGAGGAACTAAGCACTAGATGCGCAAAAGACGTAGTCAGAGGAAATCCGGTGGTGTGACGACTCGACACTGTGCAACAGTGTGACTTACGTACTGCACAGCTCTATAAATTAGGCGGAGACTAACAAATAGCGTTGCACTACTGCCTTTCCCACATTTTTAATATCATCTTAGCAAATATCCATATCTCTGTATAGTGCTTACCAGTGGTTCTATGAAAATTCCTTTCTAATGCATAATTTGACCGTCATTAATGAGTGAATTGCCCAATGAACTCTTAATAAGCCTACAAGCTCAAGCGGTGACCTCATTATTCCATTTCAATACATTCTGGACTAGATCGTTGAGTACTTAGTTTGAATATGATTGAAGTGAATAGACTGTTTAATGCCTATTGACTTCAAATGCACAAACCTATCTTAACCGACGGCTATTTCCTTATGATAACAGTACCAGTAGTTTTAGCAGTTCAGAGTCATTTTCTCAAGAGCGCAGAAGAGTGTTGTTTATAAATGCGCATTGAGGTGAGGCTTACGACCTAGACACCCGGTTGCCCTATTTTCAGCCAGACAAACAAGTGGCAGAACGTGCTACTTAAATGCTTTTATGAGTAGCAAGAGGTGAGGTGGCAGATGGTGAGTAAGAAGGCCAATTCGGAGGTCGAATTTTGTTTAATTATCAATCTTTGGCGACACCAACACACAAGCATGGCCAGATTGGTTTCTTCAAAGTTCATTGTGGATGAGGTAAATCGCATGGTTAACAGGAATGAGAGATGAAATATATTTTGAAAAATAACCTTAAATTTTAAAAAAAATTCTAAGAGCAGAAACAAAAGTGATATTTAACACTAGTACTGTGTCTGATCTATTTAAAACTTCAAGCACAAGTTACATTTTCTCTTAATCATGAGAAAAAAATTGTCGACCTTGGTTTTTGTTGGTAAGAGTTCAGTCGAAGGAAGCAGTATTTTTGCGCAAAAATCAGCTTGCAAGCAAATACGCATAAGATGCTTCTTCCCTTGAGGTTTCACTTATTTATCTTACTTTCTGCCTAAAGAAAACGCAGTAATGTTAGCAACAAAATAACTCCGCGGTAACTCTTGACCCTCTGACTTGGCAAATTATGCTGGGGCTCAATAGACACGTGAATGCACAGGTGGGTAGAAATAATAAAGTTTTTTAGAAGTATTTTTGCAGAAAATACTTATGATAATTTCATACTAGTGCAATATGATGTGCTGAAGGGAGTTAGAGTGTTGTTTAGGATTCGCAATTTTTGAATCGATGTAGTGAATCATTTTCAGTAGTATATAAGGACCAAGTGAATTACATCAAAAAAATTATATAACTGGAAAGAACTTAAACAAAATTGCTTTTTTGCACTTACTGAGCTGTAGCTAATAAAAACCAACAACTGAATTTCGTCATCTCAAATAATGACTCAAATTACAATCCTTCGGTATTTACTTTGCAGAATAATAAGTAGTATTTCATCACCAGGATTAGCTCAACCTAAGACTTCGGAGCCTACAATTCCAGCTTACCTGATCCCGCAGTGTTCATCACTTAAAGTGTAACGCCGCTCTGCCCGCATCACATCACACATAGTGTCCTGACGCAACACGGGTGTTTGATATTATCCTGGCCCTTGGGCTCCTCTCCGCCCTGAATATGTGAAAACCTACTTACGACTTGCTCGTTGAAGCACTGAGGCTGTAGACCCATCCGGGAGGCCATTACCACCGCGACAGAGGTAATAGTCAGGGCTAGCTGAAGAGTCCGCACAGTTCAACATTAGTATGGAACAGCACCTCCCCCTGCCTAATTTCTTCGTCATTGAGGTGGTTAAGCATTTGTTTTGTCACTTTTAATTGGCTTTAGAAGTGGCGGATTCTTTACATAAAATCACATTTATTTATGCCATGACACTCTAATCTTAGGCACTAAGAGTAGAAAACAACCATACCCAAGCACATCTAGTCCCTTCATTCCCACCCTGTTTCAGTGGGCAATCCCCAACCGTGGGATTTACGATACATATTGAAAAGCCGTTTTTAGATGAAGCATTTTATCAACAATAGAAGAAACGATGGTTTTTTTAAGACTCTATCTCACACCTCTGCAAGTTTCACTGACACTTGCTGAGAGACGCCCAAATACGGTTCCATTTCCAAGAAAGGCCAGCAGTGGCATTTTAGGTGGATAGGAATAAATGGTAGTAAAAATATTATTGAAAACAAACTTAAAATGGTCTCCACGTTAACTAAATGTAGCCTCAATGTGGTCAGGCTGTCTTCACAACCTTGTGCATCCCCCACTTTATCTATTTCCACCTTTTCCCGATTAGCCGCCAGGCTAACTGGAAAACAAACCTTCTCGAAGTGCCACCACAGTCCGTAGATGACGGATTGCAGGATTGCTCGTTACAGCATACAGCAAGGAAAACTTGGGGATATAAAAGGCCTCATCGTACCCACGAAAGTAAAGTGCAGAGACCTCCCGCCGTAAGCTGAGGGTTCGCCAAGAAATAAATGCATTTGCTTTGCAGAGACGTTTTTATTCAGGTGTTTACCCATTGCCATCAACTACTCCATGACAATGGCCGCTTACTAGTAGGGGTTAAGATACTCGAATCTACATACATCCACATGCAACTACTGCACTGTCGTTGAGGCTACTCGAGTGGTCAATTGGCGAACGAAATGCGCACAAACACTCCCAGAGAGCCTCGGAAGTCTGCAAATGAGGCTACAACCAAGAATCTACCAGAAAGCGAAACAAAAATCTCAAACACAGAACAAATAGGACCATTTTCTAACCTCCGAGTACCTAGTCGGCACATGTGTACGACTTCTGGGACTTTGCTGAGAAACTTCCACATACCAGAAGGCAACGGGGGGCAAAGTAAGGCACTCTGTCAGCCCAGCACTTCCTACAAGTTCGCAGGCGACGCCGCAAACCACACCCTCAAGCCCGTGCCACAAACCAGCAACCGAACTTGGTTCAGCCTAAAGATCTCAACATCGTCGAAGAAATTTGTGACTGGTGTACATATATTTCTATCACTGTAAGTGTATGTAACAATTGCCACCGTAGCCTAATTCCATTTTAGAAATCGCCATAACAGACTAATTCCTCCGGTTCAACAAACGAGTGTTATACTAGTGGTGAAAGTCATCGCAGTGAGAATAATGCGTTCGTTCCACGGTAGTCAAAGAGGTACCTTAAACAAACCGTTTATTACGAATGTGGTATACGTTAAAATGGAGGGCGTATTAGACAAGCGCATAAATGTGAAAGCGACAACCTGTGAAAAAAGTAATGTTAAGGGGAGGGGGAAATGAATTACTACAAAAGTCGAGATGTAGACGAATAGGACACTTAATTTTTGTTAATTGAGGCCCGACGGTTTTGCACCTTGGCAACCTTTTCAAACTAAAATCGTGGATGAACGTATACAGTAGGTACATAGCATAAGAAGTCTAAATAATTCTCAAATTTTCTTACTTCTTGCTGGCAGAAATCCTTAACTCCTTGTATTATAATACACCGATTGTTCTCTTTATTCGCCATATCCTGAGTGATATCATTCATTTTCCTTTCAGCTTCTTCCGACAGCGAAGCCCGCACGCGTTCAACTCGATCAAACTTAAGATTTATAAACTCACAACCTGATCCAAACAAGATTGAAGTATACTCTGACAACGGTTAAATTAAAGTACTTGGGGTGCAAAAGTTAGGGTAAAACAAGTGAATCCCTCAGCACTGAAATTTATCCACTAATTTAGAAGTAAGTATTCAATGAGAAATTCATGCACAGCTTACCGATCCCATGTAATTTAATGCGGCAGGAACAGCCATTATAATTATAAATAGACCTACCATCTTTTTAGCCGATTCTGCTTTTTCTTCCAGGGTCTGACGGCGTCGAAGACTCGCCATCTCCAGACGCATTTCGGTATTTTCTTTCAATTCAGCAATTTGATTATCTCGTTTAGCCCTGATATCCTCAACAACGGACTTCACTTTTTGATTATGAGCCTCGTATTTCTCGCGCGTTTGCTAAGGGAGGAAGAAAGGCAGGTACACAATGGGAAAGACCAGACGTAAATTAGGTCTCCTAGACCTGCATGTATGTGCCATAAGAAATGGAGTACACGCCAGGGCAAACAACCACGACTATAAACAAAAAAGACGAACAGTAGTTACTTCACGCTGCATAGGATTTCTGTTTGTTACCTGCAAGATGCCCGACTTTCTTCTTATAACCTCTGCCATCTTTTCGTCTGCAGCTTTTCCGTGTTCAACACTACATTTCGACGGTTTCGTGGAGGTAAAGGGACTCCTATTAGAAATTGGAGGGTCGGAATCATCAAAAGCAATCTCGAAAGAGCAGTTTTTCCGGTTGACCGGCGCTTCCATCTTTACGCAGATATTTCAAGACCTAGTTAATCGAGCAGCGAGTTGTGAATCGCACTTGTTCAAACAACCAGGTGCTGTAAAAAGATGCTTATCAAACTATTATTAATTAGAAATTCTGCAGGAAATTTCAAGGAGAATTTGCAGTTTCACTATATTTTTGTCAAAATGAGAGCATAATTAAGCACAAATTTTGCATCTCTGTTTCCTTACTACTTGGTACATTCTCGATTGCAGTAGTTCAATTCGTGCTTCTAAAACACGTCACCAACCCTAAGGCTAAGTTTGCTATTAAACTCTGCTCAAAAATTTCCGTATTTTTAAGTGCCCCTTAGATCTACTGTAAAAAGTTGGGACACGCATGCAGCCACCACCGAATAACCAAAAAGTATGGCCGTTACGCCTAAACGCAGTCGTATTGCAGTACACCCCCACTAAGTCTTTCTAGAAAACAGTAGGAGCCAAGATGCTAGGGCAGACAATGCACTGCCGACGTCCAGAGGGACCGACAGTCTACATGCATGGCCCGGCGGATGTACAAATGCGGAGCTTCAAATGACCGCTATGCAAAGACTAGGTCTTAAACAAATAATCAAGGTGTTTCAATATTCAAGCAAGTTAAATGGTTAGACAAGGTAAATAAACTTAGGTTCCCGTCATTTTAAGGTATTTATTATGCTCCAAAAGGCTCAAATAATTCCAGATTATGTTAAGCCGATACTGAAAATTGCTCAGTAATTTAATTTTTGCTTCACTAAGCTTAAGTACGAGAACACTGCAGTCTTTGAATTTTGCAGTTTCACTATCCCTGACCTCCGTTGTTTCCTACTTGGTACTTTCGTGTGTTCCTTTATATTACTTTGGCTTAGTATGAATTCTGGAAACACGCTGGGCACTACATATAGGGTCTCAACGCACAGAAGGGCTTGAAAATGCTGTCATGGCACTAATACGTAATATGAATCATAAAGCAGGTATATTTATCCCACAGTACTTTGAGATTAAGCAGTATTTCTCCCTGGCGTGCGTGTTCGTTTTGCTTTAAAAATGAAAATGATGAGAAATTTTTCTTATCAAATTCATAATTTCGCATTTATTTCTCCCCTAATTTTTAACTATCCACCATTCACATCACTTGATATAGGGTTATCTGCTCGTTGAGAGATAAGCCACTCCGGTCTAGAATCACTTGAAGCCTACCGACACCGTGGCCTCTACGCTAAGTTTTGTAGTGACTCTTTTGTCGTATGATACTCGAGACTTCCAAGGTGATTCCTTGTTATGCAAGATTAGATTGGCAGCCCAAACGTCCCCTTAAGCCTTAATTAAGTATCCCATTCCTTAAAGTTTATTTTAGCCATGTGGAAGGGCCAAGGCTATGGGTGTGTTCGAAGGGTCGTGCTATTGAGCATCCGAAGTAAAGCACATAAGTGAACAGGCCCCAAACCATCGGACGTCCTTATTCTCCTCGGGCGTTGACTCAAGTCCTTTCCTAAGCCATCATTTTGCCTCGACCATCACAATGCAATCTCCGTCACAGGGATGAGAGTCATTAACTTGGAGGCGAAGAGACACTTTTTCTGCATCAGTGATGCATCGCCTTGAGCTACTTGCACCATTGCTCTACTCATCTTTGATTCACTGGCTTAACGATGGTTCACGTATGGAAGCACTTGCTTCATGCGAAGAAACATTTGGTAAATGTCTATTGAAAGTAGCCTTACAGGAATAGCATTCAGTATGCATTCCTCGATGCTGTCCAAATATCTACCTGAATTTAATTTGGCTCCCAGAAGTACAACACCAGGTCTAGGGTCATTTCATTCATTAACTACCTCTTCATAAAATGCAAGGTCGGGGCAGTCACCGAGAGTGGACACCTTTTTTTACCCTTCCTAATGAGTCTGGTGATTCAGCCCATCTGCAGCAGATGCTTTGCTCCTATGATTCTACCAATCACTGTACGAAATCATTATAATCATCCCTTTTTCATTGAGTGCTGTTTCTACTGCAACCATTTTCGCTCTTGCGCCTCCGCTTAACGGGCAATAGATTATGCCAACATGAAAGGTTCATTATTGGCACACATACATATGCAGAAAAAACCAACAAAGAGAAATGATGATTCTTCATTTGCTTTTAGTGATTGGTACCGGATTCAGCAAAATTGAAATCGGGAAATATGTACTGCTTAAATACCCCAAAAATTAGTTTTAACGTATCTAACAGACAAGTAGGCCATTTAACATGAGTCATCGTCTCCGTGGCATTCCCGCTTCTCGTAGAGCGGTCCACAGGCAGTGCCGCCATATCGAGCAGGTCTTGTGATAGCTCTCAGACGCAACTGATGCCCGCTATGACTGGCGCATTTTGCAGAACACGGGCCCCACCCGCCCCAGCTGGTCACACGGCAGTCCTGTTTAGGGCTCACTTCCACCTTTAGTCCGTCTGGCGCCTCTGCTTCTCCGTATTTGCCGTCTCCTCTATCTTTGTCCGATCTACGCGATCCAGTTGCTACTCTCACTTTGGCCAGCAACTGTAATTGACGCAACTCGTTTGGCATGCAGGCGGCCATGCAGGCCGTGTGGTTGGCCCAGCGATTGGGTGTTCCACCGCAACCGAGGTAGAAGAAATCGCGGCAGCGATTTGTGCGGGAGCAGTAGTACCTAAAAGGCGTCATGGATTGGACTCAAAACAACATCAAACATCATTAGAATCTCTCTGACCCAGGGTATGAATGAGACAAACTCTTAAAGGCTTGCTAACGAAGGACGTTGGTTCACAAACCTAAAGTCGAAGCATAACAGGCTCACCAGTAGTTTCCTAATTGTTTTGGTGGATCGCATTCATAGCCCGTGTTGACTTCGTAATGACAAGCTGGATCCTGTTTCAATTCCTCCTCTTTAGAATCACCCGATGTCGCGGCCAGTTGGGATGTTTTGAATTGGAGGAGACCCATTCGTTCGCGACGCCAGGCTGGAAGAGCTTCCACTGCTGGAATGCACAGTTTCTCACATTTTTCTTTTGTTTCAAACATGTTGCGTCCGCCTTTGCAACCGAGGTACTCAAACTCGAGACATTCGTGGTCGATGGCACTGTAAAGGTCAAAGCCAGGATTTATTGAACAGAAATGACATTATTATATTTTGAAATAGTATTTCGTTCCGATTTTCAAAGCTAAATTTCATGAATTACCTGTAATAGAATCGCCTCCGCTTTTGACCACAGGGATAGCCTTGTTTGGGACCTTCACCGCAGATTGTTGCTGGTTCGCAAGCCTCCGGTGGTATACGGCACTCTTCTACCTCCTTCATAACGCTCTCCATGCCTCCCTCCTTCCCAGCCCACAGGTGTTTGCACTGTTCAGCCTCTTCAGGTCTCGCCAACGCCCGCGTTCTGCTCCTCGTACCAACTTGGTGTTCACAAGTAGCGCTGCAGGGAGACCATAGGGTCCATGGCAGAAAACTGCACGGCGCACTGTAGTCGCATGTTCGCTTTCGACCCTCACAAGACTATAAAACAAATCATAAAAGAATTATGATGAAAATTCCTCATATATCACTCAGAATAAGTAAACTTCTACCTCTTCCATCACCAGTGGAACATGCTGACAGAGCTCGGGTTTCTTGTTCGCAATAAGCTGACGGGTTCGCGTTTTGGTACCAACACCACAGGTCACTGAACATGCAGACCAGCCCGACCATTCACTCGTGATGCAGAGGAAAGTGGCCATTTGTGCAAGACTGGGGTCCGAGAGGGGATTGTTGGTGCCAAGGGTTCCGCTTGCACCAGGACCACCGAAACCAACGGACTTGGAACTTTTACCACGCCCCTTGCCTGTTACAATCTAGATGAGAAGTGTGGTTGGTCAAATTTTAGCCTGAAAGTCTGGATGGTGCAAGTCTGTGTTAAAAATATTTACATCCGATCATCAAAGTACGAAAATTGAGTTTGATGGTTAACCTGTTGAGTTGCTGATGCACTGTGCATTTGGTCTTTTCTTTTTCCAGGATCCATGCCGTCACTCGGCTTCTTTCCCGTCACACGAATGCCTCCACCCATCAAAAAGAGCTGCACTCCATCAGCATCCTTGTTGGTACACTCCCAGTCGTGTTTTGGAAGAACCCTCTCAAGTTTTACTAGCGCAATTGGTTTCTTTTTCCTAAATGGATTTCCAGGCATCCAGCTCTCGTCGATGTAGCGAATTGGGTCTGGAATCTCTTTCCTATCCGATTCCTTTGGCATATACGTATTTCCTTCTCTAATTCCTGCATCCCAGGGGTGCAAATATAATGTCATATTCCTCACCCACGTACAGTCCGCCTTGCATAATGACTGGCCGGAAATGCCCGTACACCAGTCAGGACTCGGACCCAGCATTGTAAGCATCGAAAAGAGTGGATGGGTTCGGTTTACTGAGAAAAGCGTTGTACGCCGCTCCATCAGCGTCTCCTCACCCCACATACCAGGGGTGAAAATAAGTGCTCGAAGGGGGCTGATGTCGGTTGTAGCCGATTGACTACCAGTTGGAACTCCCGCAGCTCCTTCAGCCTTTGCAGCAGCCAAGGAGAGGGCTTCACGGAGCACCGTAGTGTCTCCATATGCACAGACAGACTGGACTCCTGCACTAGCCGTTTGTCCGATGGCATAAATCTGGAAGCTGGGTGCATGACTGGCGCCGATGAGGTTCGTCCAGTGAAGGAGATTTGGATTTTTGGTGGGCCAGTCTTGAGGGTGAGTCGATCGGTTCCAGAGACCTTGGAAAGTCAGTCTGTAGGTGGCGGTACCGCATGAACAACAATCCTTTGGTTGAACGCTGTCTCGAAGTGTCGTTTGCATAGGATTTGCGTAGGGTGGTTGGAGGTAAACTGTAGGATCATTTCGGTCAACGTCAAGACTTTCACGTATTCTCGAGATCACTGGCTCCATCGGACGCATTTCAGTGGGGCAAAGTGTCTTCATCAAACCACCTATATATTGTATGAAATAAAACAATATGTTATTTAAAGGGCACGTCCGCTCAAATGCTGGACGCCTATGAGTGCGAAATTTAACCACGCACTCACCAACTTCCTTCAGAACTGATGTGCGTGTACGCACCATGGCATGAAGTGTAACGCAGTTGTGGCGGCTGGCATTTGGACTACGCCAAAGGAGCACAATCCGGCCCATCTGTCTAATGAGTGGCGGATACCTGCCACTGAAGCTGTGTAAACCCTCCACCACGAGGCCGCGGCATCCAGGTCGGTTGCGAGTGAGTACTTGACCGGCGTGGCGATTACGACGTCGATTTTGCCAAGGCAGTCGAGATCCCATTCGGTTGAGTGTGTGTACCCATGATCCCACACACTTGCCTGGTGACATAGTGCAGTCTCTTGTAGTCTAAAGTGATGGAGGGGAAGTTAATATGAAAAATGACGTTTTAAATATAGTCAGGAGGGAGTCAGTCGAATCGAAATAGTTTTCAAGTCACGAGCTTACATATTTTCCGTCCGAAGGGTCCATCATCGGTGGTTCAGTAGGTGTTAGCCAAAATAGAAAGTCATCAAAGGTTACCAGAGGCAACTCATTCTTCAGAGTTACCAGATATTCCTTCTCCGGCTCAAACCATGCGCCAACTCTGGCTCCATCATAAGATCTTCTAACGCTAATCTCAAACCCGTCATCGTTGTTGGCAGAGTTTCGAAGTGCTCTCGAGGGTCCCCGTGCAAATCGGTAGCAGTGCTCCGGCAGTACGAATTCCCCAAAGACCTGCCAAAGCGCACCCAAGAGAACAGTGAAAACGACTTTCGGACAAACCATTGAGCTGTGGAATGACCGACAATGTGGGCCGTTACATCAACAAAAAGCTCTCAGTGTGATTAAGCCTTCATGTGTTTATATGAAGTTGCCAATCCCTGAGAAATCTTGTTTAAATGAATTCGTGGGAAGGCTGTGACCTTAGAAAAACTGTGGTAAGTGGATAGGGTAAGACCAATGAAATTGCCCTTTTTAATGGACGACTTTTGATTTGCTTCTTAGCCTAACTTAGGCCATTATTGCAACCGAAAGAGATGACCTAATAGATATGATTCACTTTTCTGGAGGCCTGATAAATCCGTTACGCATTATATTTGGGTACTTATACACCGACCCTTAACCAGTACGTCAGAAATCGTCAGTTGCTCATAATATGTCTTTTAACTATGAGGTTAATGCTTAGCATTCAGCATAAGAAATCAAAATATTTGTCTTTTTCGATCGGCTTAGCTTTCCACAGCTTCTCTAGACTTCCTTTAAGCCGAAAGAAGATATAATACGCAGGCAGTTTATGCACTGCCGACGTACTGTAGGGGCTTGGAGGCTACCGGCATGGCTAGGAGACCAGTTCGCCTGGCGGCGGTACAACGGCGGAGCTCCTACACGGCCCGTTAACAAATCAAGCGTTAAACAAACAGTGAAAGTACTGCAGGTTAACACAACCTCTTACGCAGCTTTCAACTTGCCTGCTTTATTCTATTTGCTTCCTTCTTGGGCCTGCTTCATGCCATCTTGAAAATGTCTAAATCGATGGAAAGGAAACTTGTTTTTGTTGATCCCATCCCTAGTAAACACTTCGCTTGTTTTTTTGGGTTTATCAGTGCCACTAGGACTTCGCCGTGAAACACTTGATAGACTTGACATGTTAGTTTTGAAACAATTTCCAATATCTAGGATCTACTTACTAGTTGTAATTTGACCGTAATTTGGATGAAACCAAATGCTAAATCATCTGTATTAAAATAGACGAAAGGGGGAGAAACTAGAATGAATGCGAAGCGTATCGATACGTAATCTGGGAAAATGAAGACGGACATTTGCTTTGGGCATTTAACTTTTTGACTGTATCTAATTGGCGACTTGACTGTCCCGTGGAGATAGTCTACTACTTTGTACACTGGGTTTACTTAAGATAAAATCTTTAGCAAGAGTAGTCTTTAGAAAGCAGATTCTCTTAATACTGCCTAAATCACTTAAAGAGTGTTGCATCTGTAGCACGGCGAGATATCCCGAAAAACGACGGGAGGCATATTACTCGAAACGATTAAGTACTACCGACGCATGGAAGGGCTTAAGGACTACCGGCACAGTTTGGAGGCCGGGCCATTCAGAAAAGGTACAGTGTTGGAACCCCAAGTGGCCTGTTAATGAAACGGAGAGTTGTATAAATATTTAAGGTATAACACACTAATCAACTTGCGACTAAGTTCGGTATGGGCTCGAAATTTCAAAGAATTTTTGAAATTTTTTGAATCCAACCTGTGGTGCTGAAGAGCAGCATTGTCACTCCATTGTAGGTCATGCCGTAGTCTTAACCAGTCTGTAGCGAAATGAAGGACAAGCGATACCCTGAAACTCTTTAAAGGTCATGCTGAACGTGGCCAAAGTCAACAGCCCTTAGGGTGGTAACCTCATTTGATCCTTCCATTGCTTACTACTGACAGGTTCCCAATCTTAGCCTGTGTGATTTAGACATGTCGCAAAGGTCTCTAGTACAGACTTAGGGATATTGTCTTGGCTTTTATCTAAGATAAACTGAGTCTGATGGCTCATGCCCCCTTTCACCTGCGATAAGTAATATGTATCAAGTATTCTTACTGACATGTAGTGCTTCATTAGTTTGTTCAACTCTGCCCTCTATTTCGGGGACCATTAAGCCTCCGCAGATTGTACTTCCGTTAGGTGGCATGGCCTCCGGTCCATGCTAGCAGCCTCTCAGCCGTTCTGTGCGTCTATACTCCATTCTAGTGTTATGACTTCTAACGATTTAAGGAAAGAGTGGGGGCGATCCATTGGTGACAGCGGCAGGCCAATCCGATCCAACCTCGGCATCCACCTTGGTTTCATGTTTTGCAGGAATGCTATTAGTAATTGAGGCTATGTCAGTTTTGAACCATCTGGAGAAGTTCGCCGCGGAGTTGTCCACGGTTCCTACTCGAAGACGCCAATGGAGTGAAAGTCAATTCGCTATGGTCTTGAAATCTGAAGGAATTGTCACAGAAAGTGTACTGCTCTAGTTTCGCAGGATAGCTTCAACCTGTAATGCTGAAGAGCGGCATTGTCACTCCATTGTAGGCTTTGCCGCTGTCTTAATTGATTTATGGTGAATCTAAGCGCACCCTCCCTTCGGACCAACTGACAAGTGACATGCTTAAACCTGTTTTAGGGGTCATGCTAAACGCAAACAAATCCAACAGACCTTAGGATGGTAACTTTATTCTGTCCTCCCACTGCTTACAACCAACAAGTCCGCAAACTTAGTCTGTGTGATTCTAAAGCATCCGGACGCTGTACTGGTGGCAGTGGAAATCGAACCCAATCCTTAAGGACAGGTACCATTATTTCTATTGCTGACACAAAATTTTAATGTGACAGAAGAAGGGCATCTACCACTGATGAGAAGAATCTATGTCGAACTCTAGCGGAAGGGTTGAATATAGTGTCTACCCTTCGTAACCACTTTAGTCCTGTGTTCCGCAGGATCTCTATTAACAACTGAACAGACACTAACCTTGAGCTATCTGACAAAGTTGGCCACAGAAATGTCTACAATACCCTATAAAAATACAACTTAAGTTAGCAGACTATATCTCTTCTGGCTCTCTACTTGCTGAATAGAATCCATACAGAGAGATACGGCTGGACAGCACTGAAGTAATAGCAAAGTGGCCAGTGTTCTTACTACTAGCTGTGGGAATACTCAATGGCCTAGTTGAAGGGCATCGTTCATTCTCCAGCAGTACGAGGACAGCACACTCCTCCCTTCCCCAATCACAAGTACCATTCAGGAGGAAACTTTAGACCCGGTATAATTACTATGCCGCAGCAGTGGCAGTAAACTGTTCTCGTCACTTTTGCGGTCCTTTCAAGAGGCACTTTGAACAACATTAGACGTTTATCGCACTTGTACCCCTTCCTTACTTATACATTAATGGGGAAATTGTTAAGTGGCAACTTTTCTAAGGCGCCATTCTTTCATTCAAGCGTGTATAAGCGCAGCAGGATCTTTGGCAAAGCAGACCATGAGTGGTTTGGGCGAGGTAGCTAAGACCGTCGTGATATTGATCCCGCCCTCGAACAACCGACCACGTGGGTCCACGCTACTGGAAGCCGTCTGAGCCGAAGAAACTGAAATGCCGAGTAAGGGCACTTCTAAAAAGGGATCAAAGGGTGGAACAAAGTCGAAGGGCTCCAAGGTTTCCGGAAAGGAAAAGGGATCCAAAGGCTCGAAAGGAAAAGAAAAATCTTCTCTTTCACCAGAAGAATTGGAGAAACTCATTTTTGGTAGGAAACTCTATGAAGATGTGGATGCGGTGTTCACTAAAAGGTCAAAAAATATAGCCCTCTTTTGTCAAAAGATTCATATTTATGAGGTGTGGAACCGTCTGCCAGAAATATTTGCTGACATGAACCCACAGGGTGACAGTGGCAGCAAAAGTGGTACATCCAAGGCTTCGAAAAAATCCAAGGGTTCAAAAGGGTCCAAAGAATCAAAGGCGAAAGCTTCAAAAAAATCCAAGGAGAAGAAGACTACAAAGGGTGGAAAGAACAGTGGCGGCAAATCAAAGGGATCAAAAGGCTCAAACAAAGATGATAAACAACCTAAAGAAAAGTCGTACGATGACCCGATTGTAGTAGAGGATAGGCCAGACATGTTGGAGTACGAAAGGGCCATCCTTGTTGGTGCTGTAGCTTTCCCTTGCTGTTTATGTCAAAATGGTGAAAAGATATTTGTCGAAGTGTTTGCCGACTTTGTCTACTGTGATTATGCCAAAGTACCGCCTTTTCCAGCCTCGGTAAGGTGCAAGACACGTTGCTACAAAGATGTCTACTACATCTACCCACTTAACCTCAATCGCATGCCACCCCACCTCACTTTTACACAAAATATGGTGACTAAAATTCAAGAAGAATTTCCTATGGGATGGTATATTTCCCCATTTGTCTTTGATCTTACAGGAAAACCCGATTCTGTATTACTTACACGCCCCTATTACATGGAACAGGACACGGGTCTGTTTTGGACTGTACGAGCGTTTTCTGGAATGACGGAGTTCTGCATACCACTACCCGAAAATGAAGTATCCATGGGTTTTTACAAGTTCACCATCGTCCCAGTTGCAAAACCTTCAGTTCAAAGACCTTCCATCAGCCTTGATTATAATCGGTGGTCATGCCTGGAAGATCAAGGCACTTTGAAACTATCAGCAACCCTAAGTAAAGACGTCTACTACCAAGGTGAGGAGATCGATGTCACCGTCTCCATTTCCAATGATTCTGCTCGGCACACAGTGGTAGCTTTGACGGTGTGCGTGGAGCAAACTTACAAATTCCATTCGGAGATACCACACGATAACAGCATACCCTTGGCAATGACTTTTATAAAGGCTGGAGAGATGGGATTACCCGTGGGACCGAAAAACAAGGGTTGGTTAAATACCTTTAATCTCCGTCCCGTCTACGACCCAACAAAGTACAACCTTGTGATGGATGGAAGAATGTCACGAGATCAGAAAATATTCCTCGCTGAGAGCACAGTTATTGTGCGACAGGATTGGGTCAAAGTAGAAGAGCAGCCACCAGTTGCTGAAGGGGATAAGACAAAGTCAAAAAAAGAAAGCAAAGGAAGCAAGGGTAGCAAAGGTAGTAAAGGGAAGGGAAAAGACGGTAAGGCGTCAAAGTCGTCCAAGAAGTCAAAAAAGTCGGACAGTAAGGGTGAGGGGAGTAAGATGGGTAAGTCGAAGGGAGGCAAAGCCTCGAAGGCACCAGGAAAATCAAAGAATGTCGATCAAACTCCCGCAGAAGTTGAGGAAAAACCGCAGAATAAGGAGCAGGAATGTAAAGCGCCTCAGTACGTGCAGCAGAATTTGGTGGCAGATCGACAAGAGTGTCGAATAATTGACGTCTCCTATCAAGTGGTAGTGCGGTTGACCTTAGGAAATGAGGGGGGCCAACCGATGGTGAGATTGCCCTTCGTGTTGACACGGAACTCGCGCTACATTGATCGACTGCCTTTGAGAATGCCACCGGTATTTGCGAAGGTGGCTATACGCTAATTTCGCCTTGGGCATCTATGCGTGTGTGTATGTGTGTGTGTTCCTCACGGCATCACGCCCACGAGGTGCCCCGATGTGTTGACGTTGGTTGAAATAAAAACATTATAATGCCCCACTTGGAAAATTAAAAATTGTTCCATTCAACTGTGAAGTAAGGTTGGAACTGAAGCACTCATCCAAATGGCTACCTATCTTTTCAGCTGGATGCTTTTCAACACGAAGCTGGAGATCGTCTTGCCTCAGGTATCAGTCAGTAAGGAGGTATGTTGAAGCCTTTTTGTCATTGGTGCCAAACCAATCACACGAAGGCTGTGCTAAAACACCTGAGCATCAAGAGAACAATGACGAAAAACAAACGGTTACAATAACTGCAGTTGCTGGGCTAGATAGATCATCTGGTCAATGAAATTAGTCGTAATTTTTTTCTTATTTCTTCCTAGCTTGGTGACAATGTTCCCTAAGGAAGAAAAGGGTCAGCTTTCCCACTAGGGCTAGTGTATTTGAGGATAACTTATGAAAAGGAGTAAGAACTAGGCATTCATTTGTATCTATCGCTTGTCAACCCCACTGAAATCGCTCCTTTAAGGGTGAGAAGCTCCTCCTTTGATTCAAGTTTTCCATATGAGTAGTCTCACATCCTCGCACATCACCAGCCAGAACGTCTGAGATTTATCTTTTGTGTGCTCCAAGTTTCCCCTTCAAGGTTCTCTGGCAAGGGTCACGATCATTACGTGTCTGAAGGAGCTGTTGCCAAATGGAGACCAGCTGTGCACCGGAAGCCACTGATTGGTTGGTGGTTAAGGAATTTTTCGAGCTCGACCTGTAAATGACCCAAGGGGCAACTTCTAAATGAGAAGCTACCAGAGCACGCCAATCACGTGTTTGCGCTGACACCGTTGACCTCGGAGTTGGAATAGAACTTCAACTCCCTATAAGCTTAATTCCCTGTACTATTTTTTTATCATTATTTAATTTAAGGCTTTCTCCTCAAAGAGTGTGATAATAGAGGTTGAGAAGAGGAATCCTGAGATCATTATTGCAATATCATTCTCCAACACAATGCAACCTTATAATCTAAATTTTTTATATTCTGACTTCACATTAAGATGGTTAGTCGATTCATGAGTATCCACCTGTGAGTCTGAAATGCGTTAATTGTTTTTTAACTTTCGATAATGGGTGACGGAGCATTTAGGGCCTCCGCCATTGTGCATCCGCCGAACGGACTGGCTTTCCGGCCATACCAATAGCCCGAAGTCCTACCATACGTCGATAATGCACATTAAACCAGAGTATTGTGTCTTCTTCCGTCCTCAGGAAATTCTCGGGGCCGTAAATTGGTAGCAGCAGAAAGCGAACCCAACCCCAAGGGACGTGTACCATGATTTCGACTGATGGATGATAGATCTTATTGCGTCGGAATTAGTCCACATGCTTCGGATCGGATTCCTGGCGGGAGGTCCCAAAATGACGGCTACCTTTGGCAATTGCTCCAGTTCCGTGTTCTATTAACAACTAGACGTAACCGTAAACCATCTGGAGATGTTCGTTACGAAGCTGTCTATCAAACATGCTTGAAGATGTCAAATAAATGAACACGCGAAACCTCATCCACCTCTCTACTGGCTGGATGGAGCCCAGATAAATATGGCCAAGTCGTACTGAAGTGAGATCAAGGTGGTGAGGAGAAACAATCGAGCAATTCTCGGTTTCGTTAACTGGCTGATTAGGGGCTCCGCAATTCCATCTCTGCCATTCATGCTGGCCTCTGGGCCATGCTAGTATCCTCAGGACCTACTGTACAACAAAATTGCACGTTCTACTAAGGCATTATACACTCTTCTGTCTTCAGGGAAGTCTCGGGGCGCCACAAGGCTAGTTCTGTCGAATAATTTTATTAGATTTTTGATCCATTTGTTTTATGTCATCAACTACTACAGATTTTTCTTTTGCGTGTTGATGAACAGCAGTGAAAACATTTCAAAACTGACGCTATTATAAGTCTTTGTTTCACTATGCGGTTGGTTGGGCTCGCAATTAAACCTCCATGAACTGTATTTATGCTCGCAGTCATGGTCTCCTCCAGACCATGTCAATGGCCTCTCAGCCATCCAGCACGTCAGTAATAGTCTCTGCCATAGAAATGACTTTTCATAACTTCTGGAAAGTATCTAGGGCCTAACATATTTCAAAAAGGTTTGTGTTTAGCTACTAAAATTGTAATAGAACAGCTAGGCAATTTGAAGCTCGAAGCGTGAAGTAAGCCATAATGTAGCATTTCGCAGACTTCGCCTCCTATTTTAACTCAATCGTTTATGGGATCCCCCTTGAATGTGTGAGACATTGAATCATCGTAATGCAATTATTTGCGGCAAACAGGTCAAAATAACTAAAATAACGCCGAAATAGGTTTCTTTGTTTGGTTATTGGGTGAATTTCTACAATCAGGATACAAATTGCAATGCTTTCCTTGTTTAGTTCTCGCTTTTGGTAGCGGGCCACATAGGGCTCCGCCTGGCTGCATGGTCTCCGGGACATACCCGTAATCCTTAAGCCCAGCTGTACGTCGACAATACATATTCCACTAGAGTACTTTTTCCTCTTTTATCTTCAGAGAAGTCACGGAGAGCCACACGAATGATATCTAGATTATTTATTTTGGCAATGCACACCTCACTCTCCCTCCCTTACGGTTCACTCAACGCAGCTCAGCATAAAGTGGTTGTCCAGAAGCAAGGGTGATTATGCCATTTAGCACAACCGTGACACTGACAATAATTGTCGTATTCCCAAAAGATGCGGCTTACGCAAACAGCAAAATCATTGGCTCCCGTCAAGGTCATTTCCGCTTTAATAATGCGCACGTACCCCTTCTTCGCAATGGTTACTTGAAATGAAATGGTAACAATGATGCTGCGTGTTGGTACTTCGGGATCATGCACTAATCTACAATAGTGGAACGCTTATTTTCCTGTGAATACGGTTCCATCTCATTATGAACCCATAATCTCAGGGGCATCCCTTTTCACCAATCGACTATAAATGAGCTCAGCAATCGAAGGTGTCCGGCACTTGCCCATTAAATTGGAGGATGAAAGTCCATATTAGTAAACAAACGCTTCCACAACACAGCACCGAACTGCGCACAGCGCCACAAAGCTTTTAGACCAGAGCTGCACCTGAAAGAAATAACCCCAATTGACCAAACTACTGACACGCATTCCAGACGTCAAACTAACACCAGGTTATGAGAAACACCTCTGGCGCATCTTAATTCGGGTTCACCAATCCCGATTGGAGAGCACATTTCTTCACTAGTAGATCAGCTCTATTCGGGGCAGAAAGTAAAGCATGAGATTCAAACACATCACTTCCTCAGCAGTGACTACAGCAAATCAATTATATAATGAGACTGTGAAGCAGGACGAAAAGACTGGGTGACAGATTAACTTTTGGATTTTTTTGAGCCGAGAGCGGGATCAGAAGAAGACGAAGTAGACAAACGACTTTTGTAAAGGGAAGAAGGGTCAGTGCACCTGGAGCAGAGCCAACCGGTTGGCACTCGAGCAGTGAGAAGGGGCGGCGAGTGACAGAGTTTATGATAGAGGCCACGACACCGCGTACACTCCACAAGCACGTTGTTGGTGACAGGATTCTCGATGGAAGTGGGAAAAGCTTCGTTGACATCATGATCTGCAGCCGCAGTCATACGACCACACACGCAGCACATGAGATCTGCCACAAGGTCCTCCATCACCTCCATGCCGACAGGTGGGGAATTGGCTTCACCTCCATTCCCACTGCCACTAACGACTGGTGAGGGCTGCTCCGCGATTATAGTCTTGCCCTGGCACACCACCACCGGAATGAGAGGCACTACGGAAAAAAACTCCTTGGGTTCTTACGTTACTTACGGGGACATGATATAGATGGGGTTCTTTTAGTCACACCAGAAATTTTCCTTAAGAAAAATAATGATGTTCAATGTAACAGATTTATAACACCAATTTACCATTTGTAGTGCTTGAGGGACTCTGATTTTTCGATGAAATTGTTGAAACGTGAGCAGAGGAAGTGGAAGCCGTCACATCGAAGAAATTAGTCGATTTGGATGATTTAGAGGCTCCACCATCGCCTTGGGCTGACTCCGATGTCAACAAAGGACCTTGAGCTGAAATGCGCGGACGCACAACTCCACGCTGAAAGACAAAATTAGATATGTTAGTAAGAGAAAAAGCATCTGGAAAATTACCTCGCTACCGGAACTGTTCTCCTCCTTGAGTCCTGAAGGCTCCATCCGAAGAGCCTCCGCAAGAGTTATACGAGCAACGGCTGCCTCATTTTCACATGTATCTTTGTATAACTTGCGCAAACGTGCAGTATCCTCCGCCTTTTGTGAATGCAGAAGTCGTAGTGCCTTGATCAACCAAGCCTCCGATATATTCGTTCCAATAGAGGATGGCCCCGTGGAGGAAGACATCTAGGTGACGTAGCGGTTTAAGTCATTCAGAACG